AGAGACTCATTGTGTAGCCCTGGCTGTTAGGGAACCGGCAAATGTAGACGTACTGGAAGAAACTAGAAATAGATTTTGTGTTGTCATTGGTTTTACAGTAGTTCATCTGACAACGGACTGAGTCAGGAGTTGTGGCCTACCAACAGATCTGAGTGAGGTAGGCCATGCACCTCTTCCTGGTCGCACAGTGCAACGAGTGTAGTCATGTCTTGCATCCTTATGTCAGGTTTATGAGGAACTGCAAGCTAGTGGACTTGGCTACACTATACCAAGAGGCCCAAGACATGTGAGGAAACACTTATTCATTGCTATAAACTGGCAAATATGTCATTCAACATTATATTCATATGAACTGGCAAATTTGCTATTCAACATTATATAGCTATTACTTTGCATGCATTTTAAATTATGTAAAGCTTACCACTTGAGCTTCTGCTTTAAATAGGAGGGTGGCGCTGTCGTTGTGAAAATGCTTTTCTCCCCCAAAGAATGCAGGTTAACAGAATGTATTTTGCAAGTGGGTTATATCTGAATCTAGATGCAAGAAATGCCACTTTTGTATCTTTTTAAGCTAGCAAGCAATGTATACTATATTTTAAAGCAAATTTTTAACAGTTCTGTAAACACACAAGAGTTATTCTGTTGCAGTTTTTATTTGAATCACCTGAATGAATTAATTCACCTGACTCTGAATTAGCCCACTTGCCAATCATTAACCAAAGAAACTGGTGTGACTTTACACAATAGAAGAGGGTGAAAACAGCAGTTTGCTCTCAACTCCTGATGTCTCCTAGGTGTGTGTAAAAGAGAAAGAAGACTGTTGCACACATTTTTGCTAATAGAACAGAAAAGAGGGAAGTGATTTTTCAAAGAAAGAAGCACATGATCATGATCTCAGAAGGGAAAATTGAAATCCGATAGAGGCTGAAGGTATCCATCTGGAATTTGGCTTCCTTTTTATACCATGGCAAAAACTCTTCCTTCCACTGGAGTCTTCACTGTACAAACATGGCTCATTTGTTGTCCAGATACTTTCTTTTTTGTTCTCTGTGCTAATGTTCCCCATATGTATGATCCAAGTTCACACATCCTCACAGTCATTCTGCCTCTATTGGCATGGTCTCCGTTTGCCTGCCATATGGAACTTTGCCTGCATCCCTTCCAAGCCCAATATAAAGTCTGAAATGTATCCTTCCCTGCACTTTGTATTTTTATACCTTTGGAACTTGACAAAAGTTTTCCCCGTCAAAATATGACTGATCTTCTTTACTCTGCAGATAGTAAAATTCAAAGACTTGTTGCCTTCTAATTTTTGCATTCTTAGCCAAATTCTCCCCTCTGAGTAGGCAGAGGTATAGCAGTGTCTCACCAAATCCCCCCCCCCTTTTTTTGGTCCTACAGGGATAGCCTAGTCACGTGCGTGTTCTTGGGGAACTGGATGGCAACAGCTGATTCTACTTTGAGCTTTTCAGCTAACTCTTTGCCTGCAATCTCCATTGACTTGAGAATGGTGCTCTGGCAAGTGGCCATTTGTTACCATAGGAATGAAGATTTGCCTCAGGGAGCCTGACACAATATGTAAATCATGAAATTACTTGGAGTGATTGCCTCCCAACTAAAATTGCTTTAGAAAATTTATCTGGTGACTATGCATACATAAACAATTCTATAAAAAATATACATTGCCTCTTAGGTCACCAACTAAAACACAATGCTTAGTTCCAGTTGGGTCTTCTTGCTTTTCCCGTGCCTTCTCTAATTTCCAAGATCCAGATCAAGTGGATCCAAAGAGTATTGATATGGACCTAGCCACAAATCATGGAGTTGTGGCAATAATCACACTGCCAGGGCCAAATTTCATTTTACTTTTAATGATTTGTTTTATTGGACATTTAGTTCTTATTTTGACTTTTCTAGTGTTGATACACTGTATTAAGCACTATTAAAAATACAACTTTTTTTAAGAACAGTCATAAAAGATTTCAATATCAAATGAGTAATCCCTTTGGGTGTGTGTGTCCTATATTTTCCTGTCAAATATCATATACCAATTTGACCTATTGACGGTAATGTGATTATTGCATAACTACATTTTTAAAAATTAATTAATAAATAAAGGTGAAACTTTTAACTTAATTGAGTTTGGATGCTTATTTAGAAAGCTGATGTTTCTTTTCCCTATGTCTATTTAGATTATCTTTGTTTTTTCTTTTTTTGAAGTTTCTTCTCTTTTCATTGCAAATTACCTAACAGAAGTCACATATTTATCATTCAATCTGTGTTAGCTTTTCAAGTTTTAAGTGGAAAATGTATAGTCCAGCCTAAAACTCTAGTAACTTCTTGATTAGTTGTGGAAACTAAAACCATAGACTCAATTAATAAATTGAGAGAGTGGAGTGGAGTTCCCAGTGGAGCCTGGGAAGAGGCAGGAAGGAGGGTGTAAGCAGAGAGCCAAGGGACTGGGGGTCAGAGTACAGTTAGACAGGGGGAACTGGTTCCTGTGTCCTATAGAAGAGATCAATTGTAATCTTACTTAAGCTTCTTAGACACGTCTAAATAGCTAGAAGAAGAGGGTTCCAGCACTGCCATCGTGTAGGTTCTGTGCTTGACGAGATGGATTGGATCATTAAATCACACATGTGCATCACATTGCATTTCTCTGCTAATGATGTGCAAACATGTGTCAATTAAAAATGAAAAATAACCATTAGCGCATTAAAATTGTATGCGGTTCATCAGGTCAAGTCTTTTCCTTTGTGTCTGTGCTCCCCTATTTCCAGCCGTCTTTACCACTGTCCATGTCTAATTCTATGGCTCAGCTTAGTGGCGCTGACATGACTTCATGGCTATCTGAAATTAGTTTGGAGGGTGATGCAAAACAAAGTTCTAAAATATTAACAAAACAGATCGTAGCATTCAAATTTTAAGATTTATCTTATTCACTGTCTAAATTAAGTAGAATATTTGATTAGACATCAACAGCGTCACTATTAAAAGTGGATGCTATTTTAAGGAAGGATTTTTTTATTTTTGGACAAATCTTTGATTTATTCAGGGGAAATTCTTCCTACTGGCAGACACCACAAAACAGGTACTGTGAGGAGGCAAGTAAGAGAAATTAGTACAGGTATCTGAGAAAATGTGAAGTCAATAGCAAGACTCAACAAAATTAGCACATTTAGCTTCCAAAATGGCATAGCTGTGCTCTGTTTCAGGTAAATTAATGGACAATTTGTTGCCACACAGTAGTTACTTGTAATTCTTCTATTTCCCTCAATATTTTGGTTGGAATATTTATCTGATGAAGAAGGAAAATTTCTTTTTTCTTTCTTTCACACACACACATATGTATGTATATACACATATAGTTTTTTTTTTGTTTGTTTGTTGGGATGGTCCCCACTCATCTTGAATCAGCTACTTTCAGTACTGCTTCCTCCTAAAGGGGCCTCCCCCATCAGCCTTGCTTTTCTGCCTGTGGTCTGGCAGGACAGTGCAGCTGCTGGCACACAGGACCAGGGTGATTTTACAGCATCCGAACCTTTCACATCCATAAAGTAGGAATTGGGGCACTTTTTATTCTGCTTTCTCTTCTCTTCTTTTGCAGAGGTGTGAAGGAGAGCCTTTGTGGGAGGCATGTTCTCGTTCTCGTAGGGAGTAGGAAGATTCCCTGAATGAAGACGTGCCAGTGATATTTACATCCCCTTTTTTTGCTACATGTAATCTTGTTTAGAGTTATCATGACAGAATTTTCTGGGTACTATGCTTGTGCTTATATATCTTAGATGACGCAGTCCATATTTAAACAGAAACTTATGAATTTTAGCATTTTAACTCCATGTTAAAATAACTTGTATAATTAAGCGAACATGAGAAGGCAAGACATCCTCAAAATGCCTTGGAATTAAACTTGCTTATCAAATGTTTTTATACTGATGTTTATGCCTGAATGTACCTTTGTGGTAAAGAACTCAATTACTTAGCATAAAATAGATATATAAAGTTGTTCAAAGCAATTAAATGTGATTTCGAATATTAAAAGCAAATGTCCTTAAAACAGATACCAACATACATATATGTATTTGTATATGTATAAATGGAATTTCATGTTAGGGATGCATATTAACATTTTATGTTTTCAGAAATATAAACAATTGCATCTTCTATGCTTCTTAAGTCTCAGCCTTATCAGAATCCCCACTACTATAGTATGACTGATTCCTTTGTGACAGTCCTGTAGCATCATAGGCCATGCAGCTAGCGACGGAAGCCATTATGTTGCTTACTACTTCCCCTGTAATTATTTTTCATGTCTCTTTCAGAGAACTCCACGAGGCATTTTTCCTGTCAGTACAGGATAATGGAAAGTAATTCTATACTCAAGGGCTTTTAAAAGAAATGCAGCATTACTGTAGGCTCATTTGATTTTGCCTTGCTATATTCGTCACACATATAAACATACAATTTCTGCTTTTCTTCATGAAAAGTGTTTCAGGGCTACAATGTGGGAAAGACAGAAAACAGTGGAGCGCAACTATAGGGTGCTTTCTTTCGTTCCTTTGTCTTAATTCTGTTTTCCTTTCTCTGGCACAGGGAGGGGAGAAGCAAGCAACAATCCTCCCATATGCTTCAACTTTCACGTCTGTTTTGCCGTTATCCATCCTGTTAAGATATAATTAATGAGAGCTTTCCCGAATTTCAAACATCCTGAAAAGCAGCCAATCCCTTCCCTTTGGAGGCTATTTTGACGCTAACAATAGAAGTGAGGTGGTGCGGGCTTTTGAAGGCTTTAGAAAACCCACCCTTGTGATCTTTGTTCCACCGCTGGGGAAAAGAGGACATCCTTGCACGTGTCTGGCATTGTTCATGACAACACTGCAGCCGAAATAAAGCAAGAGTTTCTGGGAGTAGCATTAGGATGCAGCACTCCCGCTGTGCGCTCCAGTTCCCCGCTCTGCACAGCTGCCTTCTCAGCTGGGGGTTTGAAATCAGCACTGTGAGGAAAGACAGAAATGACCGTGATGCATGCCCCTCACTATGAGGAAAAGGTAATGTTCAATTAGCCTGTCAGCCTGCTGCTTCCTCGCTGACTTATTTCTGTCTGCTTGTTTGTTTGCTGTCGCTTTGACTTTCTTCTATGCTTCCTTTCCATTCAATGTAATAAACAGCCTGAACGGAAAGTGTTTGGGCTGTGCTTGCGGGAGAGAAGCCTGCACTACTGCGGCTTTACCAACATCAAGAACAGTGTGTGCATTGAAACCCACAGGGCAGAAGCGTGGCTCACGCTGTCCTGGCTAAGCCTCATGCGAGACAGAGAAAATACAGTTGAATAAGAGCCTGCACTAAAGGAGCTTTTATGAATGCAAAGCTGAGGTGTAAAAGATTCTTATTAGCCTTACCTGAGCCTCCACTGTAAAATGCCTCCCAGGGTGTTGACAGTGAGCTGTGTTTTACATGTGATCCGAGCATTAAAACCTATTCCGTTTTCGTAAGTTCGAGTTTTAGCTCTTCAGGCATAGCAATCACATTATCTTCATGTTTAGGGCTTAAAAACAGTATTTGGATCATATAGATAAAAATTTAAAAGAAATGTGATTTTATAGAATCCTATTCTTCAAAACATTATATTATTCTACTTCTTAGGGGCAACAAATCCATGAGGGCCCCGAGGAGAATCCTTTTATCCTCTTTGAGAAGAATTTATTTTACCAGCACAGAGGGATCTGAAAAAAAGGCTGATTCTATGACATGAAAGTCCATGTTGAATGTGCCAGTGTGTGCCCAGCTTGGCTTTCATTGTGTGAATTTCTTCTCAGATTTCCACTGGCCTTCTGCTTGGAAAACTGAATGATCTTGAACTAGAGCTGTGTCCTTAGGATGAAGTCTAGGGATTGACTATCCATAGGAAACAAGTCAATTTTCTTATATTTCAAATATTCAAACCAAAGCATTGGTTGTTCCTATTTTGATAATAACTATATGTGAAATCATTCTACCAGTTAGGCTCTGGGCTTGGTGGTAGACACAGAAGCTAGGCATATAGTCCTACTCCCAAGATTTCTGTAGTCTAATCTGTTTTATTGAGAGAGGATATTATGTGTAACATGTTGTGGAAGTTTGACAGATGTCATTGATTTTTCACTAAATGCACAGAAATTTGCCTAAAGGTTGACTATTCTACAATAGATGAAATCTAACATACCTAGGCGTCCAGTGTTTGTTGAATGCATATTTTACACAAGTCACCATTACAAACTGAGATATGACAAACAAGACAGCAGCCTGCCCCTCCATATAGTTTACAAGGTAGAGAAAGCCTGGGAGGAAGAGGGGCAAAGAGGTCCCAGAAATAGAAGCTGCTGCCCTGATCCCATGGCAATCATACGGTCCTCCTTGCTTTCATGTTGCGTACTTACCTGAAGGAAATGAAGAAATGTTAATAATGGCAAGTGCTGTCAGAGTGCCTGGAAGTTATTTGAAGGTAAACAACACAGACTGTGCAATAGCATAGTCCTTCAAATTCTGTTTTAAGAAGGGTGTTCAGAAAGGTTTACACTGGTCCCAGTGTGCAGGATTTTAAACTTTGTGCCTTCAGCGTGGTTAGAGATCTTAGGAGTTCTTTCTTGAAATTTATCTTGACTTGCTCTTAGGAAAACTATACTGGTTTCTAACGTTTACTGAGATTTCTAAGAACTGTGTCTGCTCTGGGCAGTAGTGGCACTGTAAAAATAAAGATGGGCTATCTGTCCATCAACTGTCCACCAAGGAACTTGTAGAATTCATATGTAGCTTCATGTAATGACTCTCATTTTATTGTATTACTATAGTAGAACAATCTTTACCTCTTTGGTGGCCTTATTTTGTCATTTCTATTTTATCTGTTATTCATTTATCATTATCATATCTGTCTATCTACATCATCTATATTCAACAATCTATTATCATCATCTATCTAATCTATCATTTATCTATCCTCTATTTATCTATCATCATTTACCATTTATTGTCTTTCAACCATCCATCTAATATCCCTTTATTTATCTTTTTAATATATATCCATATGTCTAAGGACTATCTATATGTCATCAAGCTATATATACTTTATCTCTCTATATATCTATAATTTATCTATCATGTGTGTGCATATTTATTTATTTTCAAATAAACACATACTATTTTCAGTTTATACCATAGTACCCGCAATCTATTTATCAATTATCAGCCTAGGTAAAATAGTTGACAACCTAAGCTCTCATGTTCCCTAGCAAGTATCTGTATGTTTTAGACAGGGATGATCAGGCATGAGTATAAACTTGCCAGGTTTTGTATGGGAAATTTTGCATCGTCTGATGTTAGGACATGGTACAAGACATTCTTGACATAATCGTAGGGTATCCTTCTCTCTTAGTTCTTCATGGAAGATACTTGTTGGACATTGTAAGACTTCTTTGATTTTTTTACACATATAGAATAATTGTACATATTTATCAGATGTGATATGCTATTTTCACAGATACATGTCCTGAAATTATCCCGTGTTCATTAAGCTGCTCTAAATGACAGTGCGTGGTGTTGTTTAGTTGAGAACATTCCTAACTGAAGCTGGGCACACACACATGGGAACAATTCATTAGAGATTGTTGAGGGCAGAACATGACATTATAAAATCAAACAATTAGCAATGAAGTTAAATGCAGTTGTGATACCAAAAAAAGTTATGGTGATCATAACTTGGTAGTAAAAAAAGAATCAAAGAAATTTCTGGTATCTTTACAAGATCTGTGACCAAACGACACATTTGGAATTTATTTTTCTCATATAAAATAAGGGATTACATTATTTCTTGGGTTCAGTTTTATGTAAATCTCCAAGTTAATTATGATAAACATATTCAAAATCCTTGAAATTATCACTATTTTTGAGGAAACGCGTTGGGCATGAGAAATGAATGCATACACTCCATACAGCTAAGATCTGAGAGACCCTATCTGAAGAAAATGTTCATATGGAAGCCAGTAATGGAGTCACCTGTAGAGGGTCACACGGGGTGTCGCTTATCTTCCAAGCCACTGTTCCTCACGAGTCAAGGAAGAAAGGGTTTGGGAAGAGAGAAATGTTTGCATGTTGCCTTGAGAGGGAATAAGGACTGAGCATGGAATGCAGTGTTGGAAGCACATCTTACAGCAGAGGGAGCAGCAAAGGGCAGAGACGTGAGGAGCGGGAGCGGGATGCACTGGGATCCTGCTGTTCGAAGCTCTGGATATTCCAGGGGGAGTTTAGATAAGAGGCTGGAAAAGAAAATTGAAATGTACCCGTGAAATTGTGCTGTGTTTCCAAAAGGTATTGCTAGCTTTACAGACACGTCTTCTATATGACAATTAACGATGGTTTTTAATTCTATAATAAATAACTTTGACTTTGTCTCCTGATATGATTCCTCCTATTTCTTATGATAATCCAAAATTGGTTTCACTCATGTGCTTGCCGATGGCTTTATGGAATTAGAATTTCTGAGGCTGTTTGTCATTTAAAGCAAGCATTGTGAAAGCCAGCAATAAACTCCCTCTTCCTTTTAAAATTCACGGTGATATCTGATTTACTGGAAGACCAGCGCTGCATTTTTATAATCGGGCTTGCAGTGAATTTCACTTTCAAAGTAACTGGTGGCACGAAGCTGTTGTGTCGTCATTTTGTGAAATCGCAGACACTGTATTATGTGGTTAGACAATGACAAACGCGGACAGCTTTCTCGTGTCCTAAGATATGCGGAGCCACACGGGCACGTTAACTCTTCCAGTGTAAAGGAAAGGAATGATAGCTGGTATTCCAGTGAATGTGGGGGATGCCAGCATTACAGAGCTAAAGGTTTTTGGCATCATCTAGGTTAGCCACCTGTTCTAGCTTCCATTTGCTGAATAAATTAGAAGCTCTTGGGAGAGTGGCCTTGTCTTGTTACCAAGGCAACCATTTTTCTCTCTGTTCTATGACTCTGAAAGGGTTCATAACCCATTAGTGCTCCTCTGGGCAAGAATATGAGAACATTTCTTTCTTTTTTTAAATTTTCCCTTTCCTTCTTTCCTCCATTTTCTGGTCAAGATAATGTGAGCAGTAATTGCTCTTACCATATATGTATATTCAAGACTGCATTTCCCAGTTTCAAGGGGAAATTGGAGTGTAAATCTTAAAGGTACATGACAGCTAAATGGAGAAATGCCTATAATAATGAAAAATGTCTTTCAACATCAGATTCTTTCCAAATTGAAAATATTTGCAAAGCAGAGTTTATTGAAGCATATGTAAAAACACAGGCTTCTTGAGTCTAGTGCAAGGGGCAGCCTCTGAAAGTCACCTTCATAAAGAGTCCACATGTATTCATCTCTACCAGGCTTCTCTTGCTCTGCAGGGACAACATAACAAGAAAGGACAAGTGGATTTTATTGAAAGTCAGATTCATCAAATCATAAATGTACTTTTTGAATATCCAAGGACTAAGGAGCTGAAGCAGGTGACTTCCCACTATAGTAGCACCTGCAGAGTTCATGCATGACATGACTTCTAAGGGGCTCACATAACCTAGAATTTGAGTTTTTTCTCTTTTATAATACAGAGATGTTATTGTTCCATCCATCCTTTGTATACGCCCTACCGTCACTAAATATTTATGGATTTAAACATCTTTAGAAGGACTTTCGAGTAAGTAAAATTTTATTACCCTATTTCAGGCATTTTGCTTTTTCTGAGACAGAATTCTCTGTATAGCTCTGACTGTCCCGGAACTCACTTTGTAGACCAGGCTGACGGTGATTTCAGAGATCCTCCTGCCTCTGCTTCCCGAGTGTACCACCACCTGGGATTACAGGAGTGTGCCCCCACCTCCTGGCTCTATTCAGACATTTTGTATGATCCTTCGCACATATTAACTCCATGAGACAAACCTTTTTTTCTTGCTTCTTAATTGAATGACTTGAGGCCAAGGAAAGTAGGGTTGGTATTTACATCAAGATGTAGCTTATTCTAAAAAAGCAATGTCTTAACTATGCTATACATC